TCCTCTGCAGGCACTGTACAACACAGGTGCACTTACACACGTGCAGGCACAACATTCATATACATAAAATAAATAAATAAATATTTATTTATTTATTTATTTATTTATCTATTATGGTCTTTTTGAGACAGAGTCTCCCTGTACTCCCAGCTGGCCTGGAACTCACTATGTAGACCAGGCTGGCCTCAAACTCACAGAAATCTGCCAGTCTCTGCCTCCTGAGTGCTGGAATAAAAGGTGTGTGCCACCATGCCTGGCTTCAATAAACCAATTTTTAAATTGCAAAAATTAGAATTCACCATTTTGAGAATACCAACTATGTTTCTTAAAATCTCTCAACTACAAATGTGAGAGAGTTTGACTATGCTACTCTGTATTTTGGTTGAGTGTAAAGATGGTGATGTATGACTTAATGACAAATATCATTGCATGTGGGGTTGCAGCAATTTTTTTTTCATTTTAAAATTAGAAGTATTTTAGAAGTGCTTATTTCAGAACTTCTTTGTCTTCAGACTGTGAATTATGTGCTCTTCATTTGGTTAAATGAAATTCCCAAGTCTGTATTTGCTCTTCTTGTTTTAGAAGTTAAAATGTGAATTTTAACTTCTATGCCTCCATCTGCTTTCTATCTTCCATAATTATTTTGAAATATTTTGTTGCTTTCCTTTTTCTTCTTTACTTCCCTTTTTCCCTCATATTTAAGTCTTGTGTGTTCTATCATTTTACCAATGCTTTTGTCGGAAGAGATAGTAAACTCAGTTGGTCAATTCGACCTTTTAATTTAGAATTAAATATTTGTGGGTTTAACTCTTTGTTTCAATGTACACAGTATTAAGGATACAAAAATGTCCTGTATTCCAGCAAAGTAGTGGTGCATACTGATCATGAATCCAGTAATAATGACTGTGAAGAAGCAGATGCATGTGGGTGGACATTCGGTTCTGGAATATTGGTGGGTTTAGAGGGCTCAGAGTGCTAGACAGAGCTGGGGAACAGAATTACAGTCACCAGAAAACATCCAGCATGTCTTCATGTTCAGGTCTTGGAAAGCCATAGGACTTCATAGAACACAAACAGCTCTGTGGTCACGTATTCCTTGCATAATATATCTTGTATATAATTATTTCACTAAGTGTTTTCTGCTCTTTAGTTGTTGGTCCTTTTATGACATTGTGTTCTATTTATATTGTGTAATCTAATAAATCTGTGAATGTCACTGAGAATACTGAACAACTTAAAAATAAAAACAACTGCTTATACATGCTTATTGAATAACATTTGAGATGACTTATAGTCTAGCAGGATTAGATAAATCACTATTATATGTGTGTGTGTATGTGTGTGTGTGTGAGTGTGTGTGTGTGTAGTTACATTTTAGTCTTTTTCCAATATTGCCCAACTCATGAATGGCTTGTACCAGAGAACCACCTTTTGCATCAGTCATGTAACTGAACACAAGGATACTACTGATCTAGACAGACTCTTTCTGGGATTACAAAAAGCAGGGCCACCACATGAACAAATATCTTCTTGGTGTCCTGTAGCTTGATTAGGAGATCTGCATGGATCTCAACTCCTTCTCTCTCTCTGGACCATGCATCTCTGTAGAGGAGACAACCTACATAATTGTTCCGGAGGACAAGGAAGCAGAACTGTCTTCTCAAGCTTTTCTTCTCTAACACTCAAGATTCTGTCCCTGCCCTTCAGTATGACACACATGCCTGGAGGTTTCTGAACACCTGTAACTAATTCACCTAACTCAATCTTGGACCTAATCTCTAAAACAGTGAAGAACAGAAATGAGGTAGCAAGAGCAAGAAAAAAAAAAAAATGAAGAGAAGCAGTATTTGCAGAAAAATATTTTCACATGTTGAAAATGAGCAACATTAATGAGGAAAAGTGTTCATCTGAGTTAAAATTTTAAAAAGAGGAAGGAATCCAGTCTGATAGATGTGCATTTCCTTCCTACAGAAGGGTTTAGGAAATGTTTCTTAGTGACAGATACAAGAAGCTAAAGATGAGATAAACTGGAGCAGAAAGGTTTTGCATACACCTGTTTTTCTAGTCTTTATTTTTCCATTTCAGAGTAAGGGAAATATGTAATATGAGAGGTAAATTAACATGCTCAAGGTCACACAGCTAATAAAAGCCCGGACTCAAGTGTGTCTGTCTAGTTTCAGAGCCCAGAACTATTTGAATATATTCTGACAGAGCTCTGGGAACTCCCTGAACACTTGCACATTCAGAAATTGCCTTTACTGTGTTGACCTCAGTGAGTGTTGCATACTGACTGTTGTGGTTTTGTCTAATAATTCCATTGTAGTTATAAAGAATATGACAACCTATAAAAGACATATATTTGAGTCACAGAGATTATAAAAAGAATGAAAATGTATACACAGGGCCGCAGTAGAATCAATGAAAAGAAAATGAAACACAAACTCTATTGTTCAAGAAGAAATTGAGTCCCAGCAGGAAACAAGGATGGTTAGCCATATTAACAGAGGAGACATTAAAGAATAAGCAAGAACCATTGGATGACTGCATCATACGGATGATCAGAAATGAGAAATACTGAAACTTGAAATACAGTAACACAGTCCAGTGCCCCCTCTATACAAGATCATTATAGACAGTCAGTGCGGCAGTTCTATTGGATTCAACTGTTTCATTGTTAATCATCTTCAGTCAGATTTATCTTTCCAGAAAGACTTATTTTCATCACATTGTAATTTAAAGACTTTAACAAATTACTATTATCAACAATGTAGCATGCAATAGTTCAGTCTTGCATTTAAGTTCACCTAGAATCTAGCTGGGTACACATCATATTCCTGTAACAAACTCTCCCTTCTGCTTAAGCCACTATATTGCAACCCAAAGAGATTTTGTTAATCAGTTAACCTGTTCCCTTTCCATTTTGTTCCTTCATGTACATCTACTCAGCTGCATGGTATTTCCTCCATTCATCTCCGCTCATTCTCCTATGTCTTCTACCTCTAACCATGATGACCACTTACCATCACTACAGACTCTAACAGCACATATCATATATGCAAGCCAGAATGGCCAAGGGCAAAGTCCTGTTTCTGTGTTCGTTATTTGACAGTTTTCATAAAAGATGAAAGAGAAAGAGAGAGAGAGAGTGTGTTTCATCACTTCATCTTGTTTCTGTTCCACTGAAATTGTACTTATTATGCTCATCAGTGACATTTTTGTTAACAAATTTGACATCATCTTAAATCCTTTTCTCTCTTAATCTCTTTCTAGCCTTTAACACCAAACAGTTTGCTTGTTCCTTTTCAATAAGCACTTTCTTTGGTTTCTGTGATAGCATATTCCTCCGATTTCTGTCTGGTGGAGTCCTCTTTCAGTTTTTCTGAGATGTATGTGTATTTGTTATTCATCTTGGGCTGTCTTCTAAGCTCACACTCTTCCGAGACATTGTGCATTTGGCTTCTTCCATTATTTATGAAAAATATCCAACTTTACTTAGATTTCAAATCTCTCAGCTAAACTTACGTCCTTTCTTCCTCTCACCTTCCATATCCAGTATATCACCAAGCTTATCATAGTTCTTCCTCCAAAATGTGTAAAGTCTATCCCACCCTCCATCCCCACTGTCCCCTCTCAATCATCTATGATGTAGACACCTGCAGTCACTTCCCAAATGATCTCCCACTCTTGCCAGACAACCCGCTCTAGTAACAAAACCAGTTTCAAATGACAACATGCCTGTTCTTAATTTAAAATCCTTCGATGGTTTTCCAACTTCATAATATGAAGCCAATAGTCTAGGTGGCCTATTGTGCCTGACCACAGTTCATCCTAACAGCATTATCTCCCACCACTTTCTTGAGACAGTGAATACTTTTGAACATGATTATTGGCCCAATCTTAACTCTCTAGACTTTTCTCTCATGATCGCCTGTCTCACTCTAGAGAACTCAATTCCTTTCTTCCACATTACCTCCTAAACCTTGCCCAAGCAACCCCTCCATGCCACACTTCTCTGCATGCCACTGACTCCAACTCACATGGTACACTATTGGGATGGCTGCAGTAACTACTCTCAAATCTGGCTAAGTTCTCCCCCTGTGGACACTGCACACAAAGCCTCTGTATGTCCTATCAAAATCCCACCACATGTTTTTTACTTGCTTACCAATGCTGACAGACAGAAAGAGGAAAAACAAGGTCTCTATAGGTCAATCACTACACTAACACCTTGACAGAGGACAGGAGCTCAGTAGAAGTTTTGAATGCATCAATACTCATAAAAACTCACTATTGATCCTCAGTAATTCACTTCATATAAATACCTATGTATAGTTACCAAACTATCTCCAGCTTTTATATAAGACATGGATTTTATTATTACTAATAAAATTGAGTTGTTTTCTCAAAGTCCCAAGTTAAAAACTCACTGTGACATGTATTGCTGTATACACTCAGCCTCAGCTGAGTAAAATCTATCAGAATTTCAAAGTCAAACTCACAATGGCTAAAATCATATATATGACACTCCTCTCGGAATTCATTATTAAGGAATTTTATTTAACTATTTATGCTATTTTATTTGGCTAATGATAAAGAGGCAATTTTTCCTCAATATATTTAGAGACCTTTCTAAAAATAAGAATTGCCCCAAAAAGGAAACCTTCAAAGTTAACAAATTCATTGTCAGTGGGCTGTAATTAAAAGACAACTTTCAGAGTTCTATATTTTTAAAACCTTATTATTAACAAATTGGTGGGTAACAGGAATTCTAAAGTCACTTAGAAATCTAATCACCTATATTCTTGTGAAATATTTATGAAGTGAATTACTTTATTCCTCCTTCCTCACTACCCCACAATGAAAGTCTTTCATTAACTTTAAGAATTCATCCTTATTTTTTCATCATTTATAATTTTATATGTTCTTTAAAATTGACTCTACCAGATAATTATTTTACATGGCTAAATTATACTTATCCATATACTTTTTTTTATAGAAAAATGAGCGGGTGTATCTGTTGGATTTGTAAGGTGTGCAGAGAGGAATCTAAGCAGCTCCCTTCAAAGTAAGTAGCTTTTAAATCCCATGGCCACATTAAACACTTTTTAATCACAGATAAATAAGCACAAGCCTATTTAACTACGCTCTTAATATATTTTGCTCAGAAAGCAAAATTCACATTTACCCATGTGTAATTTTACCAGATGAGGAATTACCTGTTACCTAAAGATCCCATTCCCATTATTCACGGTTTACTCTTGAGAACTCAGCAACTTCCACGTTTCTAGAGAGTCTATTACATTCTATTAAAAAGTTTTATATGGCTTATATTAGAATGATTTTTTTTTAGTCCAAAATATTTTCACAATTCAAACCCTCCATACATGAAGTGCCAGACGCGCTCTTTCCTAGATGGAGTTTGTGAGATGAGAAGCCTACCAAGCTCCCCAGTTCGTGAGTTCAGGGAAATTTGTTGCCTGCTTGCTTGCTTACTACAGGATCTGGTTATACTGCCCGGGCTACCCTCAGACTTGTGATCCTATGGCCTAAGCCTCCCGGGCGATGGAATTAGTCTTACTATAAAAGTCCAGCCTTTTGATGAGAACTGTGACTGGATGAAAATGGAAAGTATGACGGAAGGATCACAGAACAGGTGATTTATCTCAAAGACCTCTCAGATTGAAGATCCAGGTAAGATCAACGGCAAGTGCCTAACACAAGCCAAGTTGAGACTGTAGTTCTGAACATATATCCTTGTATGGCAAAGATCTCGGCTTGCTTGCTCCCCCACGGAAGTAGGGAATGTCTTAAAATGGTCACAAGCTACTTGGCGAAAATGGAGCTGCAGAGAGACCCAGAGCTCGGCGGTCTACGCAACCATTTGACGCTGGTGGCACATGCAGTTGTACCCAAGGAGAAAGATGCAAACAGCTTTCTTCTCCTGAGGATCCCTATGGACTATCACCATCAGAGCTTACATTTCTTCCTATCTGTCTTGCAGATACTCCATGACGGAAAAGGGAGGTCAGGAAAAAGGAATTCACATTTATGGAAAGCTGCTTTAAAAGTCACTTGCTAGGCACTTTGTTTTAGGATGACTGTCAGAGATGATGTCTCCATTCATAGATGATGAAATTAAGGTTTGGAGATGTTAAATGCATTAAGACTGAACCTGTTAAGTACAGCACTGGGATTGGAACCCTCCACTCTCAGACTCAGCTCTCTCTACTTCTCTTCCACAATATCATGGTCTCAAAACGGCCCGGTGTCTAATTGCTGTTCACTGCTTACCTACTCAGAAGAAACGAGGAGGCAGAAAATTAGACAACTTTGGTCAGGAAACTCAGGCTGATACGAAGACAAAGGTGTTTCAAATAATTCCGAGGAGACCATCTGGATTGTCAATGGGCCAGCATGACACTTGTGGGATAGAAAATAATTAAATGCAAAAATGAATTTCAAAACCATTAATTATTCTAACCATATTCTATATCCATAAGTTTAATAAGTTTTACAGACAAAGGAATTTTCTTCACAATTACACAACCCAATGATGGCATCTCCCCTCACTGTAGAGTTTATTCTTTCCTATATAATGGGAATCAATGGAGCAGAAAGGTGTGTGAGAAACCTGCCTCACACTTCCCACTTCACTAAAGATTGAAAGGGTTATTTTAGGTTATTCTTTCTAAAGTTCTAATAAGAGAAAAGCACAGTGAGTCAGCAATAATTTCATGGAAATGTTTTCTGGAAACACTCTTAACACGGCAGACTATTAAGCCTCAGTGCAGATGCAGAAGTCCATCTGAAAGGGCAGGAGCCATCTGAACTGTTAGAAAACAAGAAAGATTGGGCCTTGTTAAGAGTCCTAATATTTTTCCATGTTCTGGGTTATTTTTTAGTTTCTTTAACTAATCTTTTTTCATTGTGTTGAAAACATGTTACTGATGATGGTCACTCCTTGAGAATTAACACTGAGGCTGAGCCTAACAGAATAGCAGTGGGTCTTGCTTCTGTCTTCAGTGCTCACGTCAGGAAAATTACGAATGTGGCAGAAACTGAATAGCGACAAACACATTACTTTAACACAGAGAGAATGAAGCTCTGGGGTTGGGGGAGTGGGCTATAAAGTCACTTGCCAATTCACCTCATGAACCTTACCAACATAAACAGAATGGAGCCTTAAAGCTAGCATATTTCACAGGCATCTTTGAAATGTGGCTTTTTAAAATGCTGTTTAGAGCAAATGTAACTTGATATATTATACTGTCATTAAAGTTAAAACTGTCAGGGCTGTTGAGATGGCTCAGTGGTTAAGAGCACTGGCTGTTCTTGCAGAGGACCAGGTTTCAATTCCTAGCACCCACATGGTGGCTAGCAGTCCTCCATAACTCCAGTTCCGGGGGATCCCAAGCTCCCTCCTGGCCTCCTCTGGCACTGCAAGACACGAGTGCACTTATATACAAGCAAACAAAACACTCATACACATAAAATTAAAATAAAATTTAAAACCACCAAAGTGAAAAATTATAGCAAATAAGAAGCTGCAAAGATAATAGATATTTATTATCTTAGAACATGCATATAAGTTTTGTGATAAACTCTAAATTTTATTGGATAAATTGGTGAATATGTGGCTGGCAGCAGGAAAACATGAGGCACCAATTTTTAAGCAATGTGGGAGTCTGTGCCTGGAGCTTTCAATCTATTTCTACCAATCTAATCAAATTCCCACAGCTTAGTGTGGGTGCAAGTTTGGCTACATTTAGGTTGGCTTTTTGGTTTTGTTTTGTTTTGTTTTGTTCTGTTCTGTTCTGCTTTGTTTTGTTTTGACAGGAAGCTTCTCTGTAGCCCCAGCTGGACTGGAATGCCATATGTAGATCAAGCTGGCATCTGTCTCACAGAGATCCTCCTGCCTCCTCTGCTTCCCAAGTGCTAGGATTAAAGGCATGCACCACCACACCTGGCCCTGGCTACATTTAGTTTTAATGGTGAAAAGGAGAAATATTCAAAATCTTTTTGAGAATAATTAGTTAAATGTGGAAAAATCCTTGTAGACTATTACAGAGTCACAAAATTGATCTATGAGTAATTAATTTAAATTAAAAACCAATGACTACTAATTCATAATGAAATAATAATTAGAATGATTATAATCACATATAAAATGCATGTAAGAAGACTATACGCACAGAAATAATGCACACAAAGTATAACTTCTTGGTTAAAAAACAAATATACATATAACAAAAAGATTTTAAAACTATCAAGATTATAACAGTAGAAAATTAGAAATGAGATTACAGAACTATTGTTCTTATCTTTTAATACTTGCTTCATATTTGCAGCTACATATTTCTTTTAATTTTCATAATGAAAAAAATTTAGAAGCAAAAAATAAAATATAAAAGGTAAGAGAATTTGGGAGAATAATTATATTTTGCTTTTATTTTCAAGATAACATAGATCTATTCAGTTCAGCTAAGTTTGCAGAATTTAGCCCAATCAGTGCTTTTTGTTTCTTTTCAAAGCCTTACTTTGGAGGAAGTGTTAGGATGGGCACAATCTTTGGAAAATTTGATGGCTACAAAATGTGAGTATTATGTATATGTGATCTTTGAATAACTGGCCTGTTTCATTCTTATGAGGAAGGTGGGGGGGTGCCAGATGATGGGCTTTTATGGCTCTGCTCACCACCTTCTAAAATGGCAACTGACACGTTTAAAAAGGAAAACCTGAAAATAGTCTGTCATGCCAACCACTGTTATTTTCTTTGGTGTTAATTAAAACAAGATTACTCACTGTGGGTATTTATTCTTCACAAGTATATGCATGAAACCCATTGGGAATATGCTGAAATAGTAACACATACTGAAGCACACTGCTATCCCACACTGCTAAAGTTACTGTTCAAAAACCATTAAAAAGTTCCTGTTCTAAGTGCTTTCAAAGGTAGGAATAAATTTGACTCTTGGTGTCCTTGATTCTCAGTGTTCTGAAATGCCTGGAGTTCTTCAGTCTCAGATTCTAGTGGTTCTGTGTGAACTTGCATACAAGCATCAGAATCCAAATGCTATAAATGAGAGGTGATGGTAATGTATGTGAGGAGGTGAATTTAAAGACATAGTGCAGGAGATAATGAAGGATGGTGGGGACTCAGGGGACTGTCCATTCTATTTGGCGAAACTGGAAGGTGGTAGAAAATGATAAAACCTGCCAAACATGGTGGCGCACACCTTTAATCCCAGCACTTGGGAGGCAAAGGCAGGCAGATCTCTACCCGGTATACATAGTGGGTTCCAGGCCAACCAGAAATATGTAGTGAGACCCTGACTCAAAAGATAAAACCAGAAGACCAGTACAAAATAAATATGTGGAGATAGTCACGGAAAATTCTCCCACTGAAATTAGCCCCATTTTAATAGAGTGATCCCCATAAAATATTTGTTAATTTTTGTATTTAGGCCTATCTCTTTATTAGGACTTGCCCCTATTTAAAGCTCTCTGTGAAGGATTATTGTTTCAATCTACTGACCATGAAGGAGCATTAAATGTGCTGCTAAGATTCTTTAGTCAGTGGATGTGAGGGATTATTCTGGACAGGAAACCTCCTGCCACTCTTAGGGGTATGTTGTGTGACACTATTCCTAGGGAAATGTTAACAAACATATATTCACTCCAGATAGGGAACTGACAACAGTCCAAAGTAAGGATGCCACCAAAATCCAATTTGGTGACATAATGAGTTTTATTGAAATTACTTACAGACTGTGAGTGAGGGGCAAGAGGTTACTTACAGGGGCAGAAATGACTCAAAGACAGCTACACCACCAAAAGCTCACCCCAACATGAGTGATGGCTCATGAAAGCTGGAAGCCTGTAGCTCAGTACACAGCTCACAGGCAGCTCAACAGATTAGAGAGAGTGTTTCTTCCAGGCAGCTCAGCAGGTCTGAGCCTCTTCCAGAAAATTCAGCTGGCCTTTATCTCTTCCAGGAAGCTCCACTTATCCTCAAGTGTCTCTCAGAAGTTCATAGAGTTTATATATGCTTGAAGAGGGAGGGGTTTAGGGAATCTGGTCAGTTTCTGGGACTTCTGGAAGCTTTTGAGTTGCTAACTTCCTGAGCTTAGCAAGTTTCCCTGAAGGATGGCAAGTTTCACTCCACTTAGAACATCTCATGTCTTAATGAACTTCTGTCCAAAGAATGATTTATTTCAGAGGAAATTGTTCCACAACAGAGTCTCTGTGCTCCTAGATAATACCTGCCTTCCCTGCCTCAGGAACACTCTAGTGTGGCACACTGATATTTCTTGACCCAAAGGGCAATGGTGGCAGGTGTAGAACATGGATTTTTTTGCTATGCATCCTGGACTATCAGCCCCTCTATCTCTATTTTGTGGCTCCTCTCCTGGTGGTGGGCTCAGCACCTCCAAACCTGAGTTTCCACCTGAGCACTCATCTTTGGCTGCAGACCACTCCATTGAATTCTTGTGGATTATAGTTTCTTTTCTCTTTCTTCCTCTCTTTTTTTCATACTGTTCCTTTCACTTTTAAGGGTCTTCATAATTTTCTAGTGTAACTTGCCAATATGACTATAAATTACATATTATATCTTTGGGGTAAATTTTAGGAATATAAATAAATGGAAGAGAGAAAAGTTAAGTCAACTAACTATCTTGATTCTTCTGAAACAGTTCTGAATTTGGTCCTAAACTATATTCACAGCATTGACAGATTAACCTTACTTTCAGAGTTTCATGCAGTTCATCTGTAGAATAAAAATAATGTCCCTACCTACTCAACATCATTATACTGGTTAGACATAAAAGACCTAGTTCAATGTCTGATAGTGGCTGGGAACAAAATAATTGGCAGTCATTTTTTTATTAGTGATAAAGTTCACAAGTAGCACTCTCTGAGTAGCAATTCCCCCCCCCCCGCTGCTTCCTACCAAAAAGTCCAAAACCTTAGTATTCAAAACGTATTATACCCTAATCCAGCCTGTTTTCTAAAATTTATCTCCAACGGTCCTTTGTGCACAACAGACCATCCCACCAGCATGGCAATTGCTCCATTCTTGTACATCTGTGCTTTCCT